TGATCACAGAGGTCACATGGTACAAGGCTATTCACAACAGCCTTGTACCATGTGACAAGCTGTGACCAATCACAGCTCACTCAGTATTTCTCAATGGCTGCAAGAATGCAGACAGAGAGAAAGAGAAATGATTGCTTTTACATCCTATATGGGTGTAAAAGCAATCACTGTAAAAAAAAAAAAAAAAAAAATCATCACCCCCCACAAGTAGTACAGTGTCACCATGGTGACACTGTACTGCTAGGGTGACAGTATGTAAAAAACACAAGCAAACAATATAAAAAAATAAAAAAGGTAGAAATTTTTTTTAAAAATTAAAAAAAATTTTGGTTATAAACTAATTTGGGTTATTTTTTTTTTTTTTTACTAAAAAGATAACTGAATACATTTTGGCCAAGATTTATGATGAAATATTATTTATTTGCAAAATTTTATAAGAAAACCCCTTTTTTTCAAAATTTTGTACTTTTTCATTTATATAGCAAAAAAAAAATAAAAATCCCAGTGGTGAATAAATACCACCAAAACAAAAAGTTTTATTGGTCTCAAAAAAAATGCTAAAAAAATTCATATGGGTACAGTGTTGCATGACCGCGCAATTGTCATTCAAAGTGTGATGGCGCTGAAAACTGAAAATTGCCCTGGACAGGAAGGGGGTAAAAGTGTCCGGACAGGAAGTGGTTAAAGAGTCAAACTCCTGGAAAATTTCTTAAGGGACGCCATTAGTAAGATCTCTACACTAGTTCCTAGGTCTACACACCTTCTTGGACCATTAGAAGGGTCTGCTCTGTTTTTTTATAACAGAAGAAGCTGGAGCATACATACATACATACAGGTGGGAACTTCCAAGAAGCACAGTAAGAGTTGGGGATTATGGTGGAGATCTCACCATTATGCCAGTCCAAGAGTGCTCAATTATTAAGTCAGCCAGTTGGAATCTTCACTTCCAGCTATTGTATTCACACAGTGGCAGCACCCAAGGCTGCCTTAACCACCTCCCGTCCAGCCGTTGTATATAAATGGCCAGATGGTGGCAGTGCAGGGGTGGGTGGCCATTTATAAACGACCTCCCCATCCTCTGCTTGGGACAGGGAGGCCCAAGGGAGCGCGCAGCACCGTGATTCGGTGCCCACTGTGTCCTCCGGAAATAGTGGAACACTGATCGTCAGATGGGACCTCTGTGCGAGGTCCCGATCATGTGATCACTGATTGGCCAACCAGTGATCACATGCAGAGTAGTAAGCAAGATGTCACTTGTGACATCATTGCTTACTACGTGTGAAATCTGTGAATGATCACAGAGGTCATATGGTACAAGGCTAGTCAACAGCCTTGTACCATGTGACAAGCTGTGACCAATCACAGCTCACACAGTAGTTCTCAATGGCTGCAAGAATGCAGCCAGAGGGAAGGAGAAATTATTGCTTTTACAGCCTTTATGGGTGTAAAAGCAATCAGTTTAATAAAAAAAGTTAATCTCCCCCCCCATAAGTAGTACAGTGTCACCATGGTGACACTGTACTGCTAGGGTGACAGTATGTAAACAACAAAACAAAAAAAAAAAAAAAAAAAATATAAAAAAAATAAAGGTAAAAATTTTTTTTTAAAAATTAAACATTTTTGGTTATAAACTAAAACTAATTTGGGTTATTTTTTTTTTACTAAAAAGATAACTCAATAAAATTGTGGCCAAGATTTATGATGAAATATTTTATAAGAAAAACCCTTTTTTTTTAAAAAAATTTTTGGACTTTCATTTATAAATGTGAAATATGTGAATGATCTTACTACTCTGCATATGATCACTGATTGGCCAATCAGTGATCACATGATCGGGACCTCACACAGAGGTCCCATCCAACGATTGGTGTTCCACTGTGTCCAGAGGACACAGCGGGCACCGGATCGTGGTGCTGCGCGCTCCGAGGGAGAGCGCAGCACTAGAAAATGCGGGTGCCGTTTATGAACGGCAACCCACCCCTAGGGTGACACCGTCCTGCCGTTTAAAAACAGTAGGCGGACGGCAAGTGGTTAATACAAATGTTAGGAACTCCACCTACCTCAACAATCACGAAGCCAAGAATGATCAGCATGGAGAAGCCGAGGACTTTGTGTAGAACGTTCTCTAGTTTAGCTTCACAGCCCTGAAAAATATAACAAAAGCCATTATTGACCCAACTGAGAATTGTTCAATATATGCTCTGTTTGCTAGGTAAACTTCGGGGCTTACTGCTTTAGGAGATCCTTCATGCAGCGCTCAGTAGTGTTTGTAGAACATTACCGTACTCGACTCGAACTTGGCAGATGTTATCGGCTTGGCTGGAGGCCAATTTGTGTGTATTATTGGCTGTAGCGTCTTTACTGCTTCATAGGCCCTTATAGGTGCAGAAGGCCAGAGACTGCAGCCAAGCATGGTCTTAAAATCAATATTAGGTACAGGAAGTAATGGAATCTACATGGACAAGCTAAGTAAGTCATTGAAAAGAAACTCTGTTATATAATGCAGAGCACCAGCTGGTCACGGTCTAGGGCAGAGTTTCTCAACCTTAGGTCAGACACCCTTTAAAAAAAAAAAATATGGGTAGTCCCGAGGCACCCTTTAAAAATTGTGAACATTCTTGAGGCACCCCATTCTAAAAAAATAAATAAATAAATAAAAAAATTGGGTGCCGCAAAATGGTCCATAATTTTAAAAGGGCACCCCATGCTAAAATGTGAGAAACTATTCTAGTTTTTATAATGCAGCAACATCCACACTTGTAGGATACCCAGCATTAGAGGTGATTTATTAACTAAAAGGCAGGCCTGTCCACCTGCTGGCTTGTATACAAAGTTTTGGGCAATTTTTAGACATTTTGCTAAGGCACCCTGAAGAGACCTCAAGGCACCCTTGAAGAAACCTCAAGGCACCCTTGAAGAAACCTCAAGGCACCCTTGAAGAAACCTCAAGGCACCCTTGAAGAAACCTCAAGGCACCCTTGAAGAAACCTCAAGGCACCCTTGAAGAAACCTCAAGGCACCCTTGAAGAAACCTCAAGGCACCCTTGAAGAAACCTCAAGGCACCCTTGAAGAAACCTCAAGGCACCCTGGTTGAGAAAGGCTGGTCTAGGGGAACCTCAAGGCACCCTGGTTGAGAAAGGCTGGTCTAGGGGAACAGTCAGCCGGGTTAGAAAATCTGCCCCTATAGCCTATCCACTACATAAGCAGGGCTGGCAGCTTCTTATATCCTCCCCATTCACAAGAAAAACATTTAACCTGCCTGCTAAATGGGAAGGCTGAAGGTGGTCAGATCCCATCCCAAGTGCTGGCTCTGATTGGAACACATGTACTGCTTGGTCAAAATAAAAAAAGGAGAAATTTTATTTATCCTCACCTGGTTGCCGACTGTATCTATATGGAAGGACTCGTGTTGTGGGGTGAAGACCGCAAGTCAGGCATGGAGAGCTCTTGCCAGCCCTGATCACATGCTTGGGCAGTTCCATTATCTTGCATGTGTGTTTGGTGGTCAGATCCCATGCCTTTATGCCCCCCCATACTGCCATAGGCACACCAAGTCCCCACCCTTCTCTATAGGATTTCTATACACGGTCCACTGTTCAAGGATGTTCTTACCTCAGTGTAGAGCTTTTTAAGGTCAGTCAGATCTCCAGTACACTGAGTGGCATTCTTCATACAGCAGCTTTTGGGCACTGTGTGATTGGTTTTATACCAGGTTGTGTTCTCCCAGCTGGTGTAGTTCTTTATTCCGCAGCACTGCAACTGTTCAGACGGAGGAAAAAAAATAGATTTTACAAATGCATTCCAATATCCAAACACAAGTACAAGAAACATTACAGCACTGCAAGACAGCTCTATTTAAATGCTATTATCCCATTCTGTGCAGGAAGAAAGCATTTCGAAGACCTTCACATCACTAATGGTGGCGGTCAGGGACTGCTGTGGGCATTCTGACACTGGGGGGGGAACTGACTTGGTGTCACTGACATTCCCAGTGACACCAATACAGTGATCAGTGCTAAACAAAAAAAAAAAGAAAGCACTGACACTACTAATGGCACTGGGCAGGAAGGGGTTAACATGAGGGGCAATCAAAGGCTTAACTGTGTGCTGGGTGTGTTTTCCTTAGGGCTGTGTTCATGCGCTTCACTGTAAGCACACTGCTTTGCATGGCTCTGCTGTGCACAGCCATCCAAAGCAGTGTGCACGAGCTGACAGGCAGGGGAGCAGTTTTGTTTACAAACAGTTCTCCTCCCCGTCGAAGATGCTCGGCAATCACCCAGAAATGCAAAATCACGTACATATACACACACGTGATGTTGCGCAGCCGTGCCGCCCTGTAGCAGTATTTCTGCTATAGGGCGGCCGGGAAGCAATTAAAGAACATCTGTCACCAGAAGGAGAAAAAAAATTCCTCAATAATTACTGTGCACTTTTAGCCCCCCCCCCCCCATTTAAATCTGAGCAGTAAAATGTAAAATAGATAAAGATATCCTTTTTTCCTGTCATTCCTGCCTGTAGTTTCAACCTTACTGAAGTCTAAAGTTATGGAATATCCCAAGGGGGAGGAGTTACAGCTAGCCATGAGTCAAACCCCCCCATCCCATCCATTGTGTTGCTCTGTCTCTCCTCACTAGTTTACACAAAGTCTAGGGCTGGCGCCCGTATCCAGGGCACAGAGAGAGTGGAAACCGTCAGCAGTTGTTGTGAATGGTTGCAGCTTGAGATGAGCACATCACAAAAACAGAAGCTGACAACAGCACAAGCCAGATACTACACTTGTCCAAGATCACCTAATGTAGTACCTGGCTTGTGTGGTTGTCAGCTTGTATTTTTGCAAAAATAGTGCCCTCTTTTATCCAGGTCCAACCATTCATCGAGCAAGCTGACAGTTTCTTCTCTCTGTTCCCCTGAATAGCAGGATGCAGCTCCAGACTCTGTGCACTAAACAGGAGGCGGCACAGCAATGTCATCAGTAGGAGGGGGAGCGGTGTATGCTTTGTTTGTACTGCCTTATATGCTCTGAGCTGCCATTCAGAGCTTCGTCTCCATATTGTCAGATAGCTACTGTAGGTAGGTGGGTGGAACTAGCTATCCAACACCACAGTTCAGCAACCCCTCAACTGATTTAGATGAGGACAATTGCGGTGTACAAAAAATCCCCTGGGGAAGTGGGGGGTTCAACAATCTTTCTGGTGATAAAAATGCTCTCTTAAAGGAAGATCTAACAAAAAATGTAAGTGACATGCAATCTAGAATATAACTTAAGCAGATTACCTCTTCCTGGATGAAGTCCACAGTGGAACTTTCTACATTTTTTCCATTGTACTTCTGGAAAAAGAGGTTCATGTTTTTCTCCAGTTCTGGATTAATCTAGGAGTAAAAAAGAAAGTCAGATCAGTGAGCCGCTGTAGACATAGACCTGTGTTCTGTGTAAATAAAACTATGAAAAAACAAACATATATCAAGTCTAAGGTCTCATGCACACTGGACAATTAGCCCCTGTGTCCTATCCAAGAACTTTCATGCGGCCCGGAAGACACAGATACACTGCTCAGCCTGCTATAAGCAGCCTGTAAAAGTTTGAGAGTCTGAGAAATGTGGTGGCTGGACCAGAGGCGGACTGACCATTTGGAAACTCGGGCACTGCCTGAGGGCCCGGGGTCAGTAGGGGGCCCCATGAGATGCCCCTGGTACCTTTTTCATAGGCTTTTTTGAGTTTGGGCAAGGACACGGGCCCCATGATCCCCGAGGGGCGCCCCATGAGTTGTCAGTCCGCCCCTGGGCTGGACGCTGTACCAATGTTTAGGACCATATGCACAGGACACAAGAATTCTGTTTTACAGCCATTCATCCGCTGGTGCATACGGCCCTAAATGTCAGTTCCACTTGGTGCAGTGTCCAGCCACCACATTATTGAGCCATTCATAGGCTTCAATACAGGCTGTTGCCAGTGGGGCTGGACAGTGCGCACCTGTGCCTTCTGGCTGCACAAAAATCACTAGGATCTGAGGCACAGGGGCTGAAGGCCATAGCAAGACTCCAGGTTTGAGATGTCCATTCTGGCCAGAATCACCATCAGAAGGTACGCAAACCAAAAACTTGTTTTAGCTTTGGAAAGAGTGAGGAGGGATTAGAGCCCCTATCTGATTGATGCTTCTGATTGGAAGTACACTGTATTGGAAAACTTTGAGAGGCTTGGGGTGGCATTGCAATCTTTGCTGCTGTAAATACTAGTTTTCTGGCTGTTAATCAGATTCAGTGTCTTCACTACTTGAGTCACTAACCTGGAACAGGTATGACATGGACTTTCCTGGGTCAGTGTCTGAAAGCATTCTAGCAAAACAACCATAGAAGGAGGAGGTCAGCCATGGTAGCCTCCATGTTTTCCCTCAATATTGGTTTCTTTAAGACTGATCGGTGTAGTACAACGGTTCTCCACCTCTACAATCCTCTTGCTTTCTTCTATTACCCTGGACAGAAGTCCTACAGGTATAGTAGCCAACCCCGATTTTTTTTTCTTTTTAAGCTGGAATCATTCCTAAGCTCACAGAAGATAACTGGCTATTAACATGTATAACAACATTAGAGATTTTTGATCCAGGGGATGTCTCCTTGAAGATCGGGAAGGAATCCAAGTCCATCCAAATGTAATAATGGTTTGGTCATGCTGCAATATCAGTTTTAACAGCAGGTGGTGCTGCAGATGAACTTTTCCCAAAATACTGGAGCCGTAAGAGCTGGGGGCACAATTCTTCCCAAATGCAAAGAGCTCCAGGTTATTGGAGTTAATAAAGATCGGAACAGTATTTCCTCCAGGAAAGGCAAGAATATCAGCCATTTCAATTCATTTTATCCATCCCAATATTGCTTTATGTGAACATTTTGAGGTTGGGGCCCCTTGAATAGTCTAGAGCAGCCTCTCTCAACCAGGGTGCCTTGAGGTTTCTTTAGGGGTACCTTGGCAAAATGTCTAAAAATTTGTATACAAGCCAGCGGGTGAAACAAGCCTGCCTTTTAGTTACACAAAGCCACAGGTTTTCATTGTGCGCCATTATGACCTTCTAGCTGCCGGCGTCCTGACAACCAATGACAATTTGATAAAGAGGATGTTGGTAGCCTGCACAGCATCCTGGTTTGACCCTCCCTTGTCCCTCTCCATCAACAATGGGGTCACATTAGCTCAGTGATGGAGAAAAACTGAGGGAGAGGAGAAACACTGGCATAGTAGTCAGTACCAGTGTGCAATAGTGTGTTTGTTTTGGAAAAATAAATCACCTCTAATGTTGGGTGTCCTACATATGTGGATGTTGCTGCATTATAGAAAACTATTAGAATAGTTTTTCATAATTTAGAATCGGATGCCTTAAGACTGTCCATCATTTTAAAGGGCGCCTCGGGACTGTCCATTTTAAAGGGCGCCTCGGGACTGTCCATCATTTTAAAGGGCGCCTCGGGACTGTCCATCATTTTAAAGGGCGCCTCGGGACTGTCCATCATTTTAAAGGGCGCCTCGGGACTGTCCATCATTTTAAAGGGCGCCTCGGGACTGTCCATCATTTTAAAGGGCGCCTCGGGACTGTCCATAATGTTGAAAGGGGGCCTTGACTGAAAAAAAGGTTGCAAAACACTGGTCTAAAAAACCCAATACCAACTGAAAACTTGATTTTTTTTTTCCAGCCTAGTTTTGGATCAAGTGGAGAAAGAATGAAACTTCTGCAGCACTGGGGAAACCAACCCTCTTACCATGTCCTAGACCAGGGGTGCTTAACCTTTTGAAGAGCCAAGGCCATTTAAGTGATTTGGTAACTGGTTGCAGACCACAATGAACTATGGGGTTTTACTGCCCCCCAAACTGCAAATGTAAACAAGCCCTGTCCTGAGTCCCCTAGAAGGCTGCATTCACACTGATGCTCTGTGGGTTACCCACACCGCGGGTGCAGCACAGTGCACACGTGGCTTTGCTGCACTGAGCCATAGACTTCTATTACGTCTAGCAGGTGTGGTCTACGTTCTGCATTCAGGAGTTCAGAAAGCTCACCAAATCCACAGAATACAATAAAAGTCTATGGCTCAGTGCAGCTGACGTGCAGGAAAGCTAACATGGCCATTGTAAAATGCAGTGTATGTGATGTGATGTGAATACGCTGAGCTTTCCCTCTTCCGGCTTGTGCTGGCATCACTCTCCAGGCTGCTAGAAAGGATTAGAGGTGGAGAGCACTTGGTATCACTCTACCTGGGACAGGAGCTGGCGCTAGGAGGAAATTGGATTCCAAATATCTTGTCTGCAAATATCACCCAAACCGTCTTCTCTGCTCCTCCCACGACCTCCTGCTCTCTAGCTCCCTCCCATGCTAATCTCCAGGACTTCTCCAGAGCCTCCCCCATCCTCTGGAATTCTGTACCACAATCTATCAGACTATCACCTACTCTGCCCACTTTTAGGCGATCTCTGAAAACTTCTCTCTTCAGGGAAGCCTATCCTCCCTCAGCTAATAATGGAATCTTCTATTCCTCCTACCAGTCCATCCCCCACAGTTATTACCTTTTGTACCACCAGACCCTCCCTCTTAGATTGTAAGCGCCAAAGAGCAGGGCCTTCCTAACCCTCTTGTATTGAACTGTATTGTTGCTGTATTGTCTGCCTTTGATATTGTAAAGCGCTGAGCAAACTGTTGGCGCCATATAAATCCTGTATAATAATAATAATAATAATATAAAATCCTGTATAATAATAATAATAATAATAATAATTGGTTTATGGGACTCCTGCTCCGTCTGCGGCCACTTGCTTCCTCCGCTTCCAGTGCCAGCTCCATGCACTCTGATGCTCTGGGATGATGGGTTGGCAACCCATTGATCAAGGTCTGGGCTTGCCGTCCCGCCATCCCAAAGCATGGGCATGCGCTTCCCTGGTATGAGGTTGCAGGCCACATCAGAGGGCTTTGTAGGCTATGGCTGGAGCACCCCTGTCCTACGTTGAAAACCCAAAGGATGGAAAGGGAAAGCTCTCCAATGGGAACAGACTGTAGAGGCTCAGTCAAAAGGTGACCAACTTCACCGACAAGAATCTGCGGTGGAGAAACTTTAGCTTCATGCACAAGTGGTGTGTGAACAGCTGCAGCAAGGCTTGTACCCTGTGCAAGTCAATGGCCATCAATGGAGCTGTTGGCATGTAATGGCTTATATGAAGGGCTACATGCGTTCTCTAGCTCAGAAGTGGATCCACAGCCAATTGTCCAATCTGTATGCAGCCACAACACAATGGGCTGCAGTGGCCAGATGTGGCATTTAGCTGCATGTGAAAACACTGACCCCATCACCCCATTTCTTTGTCCTCAAGTAACAGGGATTATGATTATGCAGGATTTATATAGTGTCAACAGTTTGTGCAGCACTTTAAAATATAAAAGGGAGACAGTACAATTACTATACATAGTCTGGCTGAAAAAAAAAAAAAAAAATGTCCATCCAGTTCAACCCAGTTCTTCATCATTCAACCCACTTCCTCGGAGTCCCTGTCATCAAGGACATGCCCACTGTCCACTACCGGACAGGGAAAATAAAAAGCACCATGGTGAGGTGCTTGTATGTCATAGTTACATAGTTAGTCTGGCTGAAAAAAGACAATAGTCTATCCAGTTCAACCATAAATAAAAAAAAAAAAAAAAAAAATAAAAACCTATAATCCTACACCCACAGTTGATCCAGAGGAAGGCAAAGAACCCAGCAAAGCATGATCCAATTTGCTCCTGCTGGGAAAAAAAGTTCCTTCCTGATCCCCCGAGAGGCAATCGGATATTCCCTGGATCAACTTTACCTATAAATGTTAGTATCCAGTTATATTCTGTGTATCCAAGAAACAATCCAGGACTTTTTTTAAATCAATCCACTGAGCTGGCCAGAACCAACTCTTGAGGGAGTCTATTCCACATTTTCACAGCTCCTACTGTGAAGAAACCTTTCCATGTTTGGAGATTACATTTCTTTTCCTCCAGACGTAAAGAGTGCCCCCTTGTCCTCTGTGATGACCTCAGGGTGAATGACTACACCGAGTTTACTATATGAACCACTTATGTATTTATACATGGAGATCATATCCCCCCTTATGTATTATACATGGAGATCATATCCCCCCTTATGTATTATACATGGAGATCATATCCCCCCTTATGTATTATACATGGAGATCATATCCCCCCCTTATGTATTATACATGGAGATCATATCCCCCCTTATGTATTATACATGGAGATCATATCCCCCCTTATGTATTATACATGGAGATCATATCCCCCCTTATGTATTATACATGGAGATCATATCCCCCCTTATGTATTATACATGGTGATCATATCCCCCCTTATGTATTATACATGGTGATCATATCCCCCCTTATGTATTATACATGGAGATCATATCCCCCCTTATGTATTATACATGGATATCATATCCCCCCATTATGTATTATACATGGATATCATATCCCCCCTTATGTATTATACATGGATATCATATCCCCCCATATGTATTATACATGGAGATCATATCCCCCCTTATGTATTATACATGGAGATCATACCCCCCCTTATGTATTATACATGGAGATCATATCCCCCCTTATGTATTATACATGGAGATCACATCCCCCCTTATGTATTATACATGGTGATCATATCCCCCCTTATGTATTATACATGGAGATCACATCCCCCCCTTATGTATTATACATGGAGATCACATCCCCCCTTATGTATTATACATGGAGATCATATCCCCCCTTATGTATTATACATGGAGATCATATCCCCCCTTATGTATTATACATGGAGATCACATCCCCCCTTATGTATTATACATGGAGATCATATCCCCCCTTATGTATTATACATGGAGATCATATCCCCCCTTATGTATTGATACATGGAGATGCCGTTGGGTCACCACTACCAAAAGTGGAAGAATTTTGAAATGTCAGAATTGCTCAATCTTAGATGAAACCATTGTTACATAAGTCTCAGTATGTCAACGCATAACCTCTTAATTCATTCCTCACCTTATCTTTGTATACGAGTCCCAACACAAGAGACGCCATTCCAGCCACTAATATGATGGAAATCATGGTGATGAACTGTAGATTCACAAAAACAAAAAGTCAGATATTAAAGTTACAGGCTACATAATGTTGGCCTTTATTTTAACACTTTCATGCCCAGCCTATAGCAGATTGACGGCCGGGCGGGACACTCCTCGTTGGGACTGGGCACCATATGACATCCTGTCAAAACAAGCATCTCGGGACACAGCCGATGACATATCACTACACCGGCCCGTTGCCAGTGTCATGTGACCGCTGTGACCAATCACAGCAGATCACGACGGTTGTATACAATGGATGGCTTCCTGTCATGCCATCAATTGTATACAATTATGTTAGCTATGATTGGTCAAGGCAGTCACATGGCCAATCACAGCCCATCTGTATCATGTGATCAGCTTTGCCCAATTACAGCTAATCACAACAAAACACTGAATGAATCAGTTTCATTCAGTAACAAGGATTGCAAATATCAATGAAATACATTGGTATTAGCAATCATAACGTGTTAAAAAAAAAAAATCCTGATCACTTGCCCAGAGTAGTACAATGTTACTATAGTAACATTATATTGCTTTGGCCACAGTGTGCTGAAAAATAAAATAGTAGAAAAAAATAGAAAACATTTGAAAAAAAAAAATGCAAATTCAATTATTATTTTACCAAAGAAAATGTAGCAAAACACATTTTGACCTAAATTTATGAAGAAATGTTTTTTATTTGCAAAATTTTATAACAGAAATGAAGAAAAGTGCCTTTTTTTTTTTTCAAACGTTTCAGGTGTTTTCTGTTTTATTTAGCATTAATAAAAAAACAACTCAGTGGTGATTAAATAACACCAAAAGAAATCTCTCTGTGTGAAAAAAATTATAATGTCATATGGGTACAGTGTTGCATGACCGCGCAATTGTCAAAGTGCAACAACGCTGAAAGCTGAAAATTGGCCTGGGCAGTAAGGGGGTAAAAATGTCCGGTATTGAAGTGGCTGATGTGTGCTTCCACTTTTACAGCCATTTGTATTATATTTAATAATATACACACACACTCATTTACATATACTGTACATACAGTACACATACACTATGGGATGGGAACACAGACCTACAATGTAAATTCCCTAAGTAATCACCTTCAGATCTTTACACGCCTGTGGGGGGGTGGGGGGGGTAAAATGCTAAATATTTGGCTGGTAAGGGACAGCCAAGTACTTACACATCCCAGTCCGCAGCTGGATTCCCGAATGGTGGAGCAGAAGCCAAGGCATCCGATGATGAGCATGAACACGGCCACACATAGAATGATCACAGATGGAAGCATCACATACATGTTCCCCAGGAAATCCTCATATTGCTTATAGGTGACAATCGCATTAATCCCGACATATGCCAGTCCAGCTGCTGCCACCTGGAAGACAGAAGTAGATGTAAAGTAACTGGATAACATTTAAACAAAATAAAAATGAATTATATTAGGTGTAAGTTTTTTTTTTAGATGCCCCTTGAGATACATTATTATTATTATTATACAGGATTTATATATCGCCAGCAGTTTGCACAGCACTTTACACAATGAAGGCCGACATTACAGTTACAATACAATTTGGTACAAGAGGAAACAGAGGGCCCTGCATTACAGAAAACACATATGTGACTATTGGCGTGCAACCTCAGGCTGTGTATACACCTGCAAGCGTATGGGTGTCATTTCCACAACTTAAAATATACAGCCACATGCAAGATCCCTTAAAGATACAGTAAACAAAGCAGCTTTTGCTGCAATACTCAGATTACAGCCAGAGATTTGCCCCCCACTGTACTTTTTATTTTCTTCTTTCAACCCACTTCCTCTGAGTCCTGGTCATCATGGACATGCCCACTGTCCACTAACAGACAGGGAAAATAAAAAGCACCATGGTGAGGTGCTTGTATGTTATAGTTACATAGTTAGTCTGGCTGAAAAAAAAAAGACAAAAGTCCATCCAGATCAACCATTTAAAAAAAAAAAAAAAGTTATAATCCTATACCCACAGTTGATCCAGAGGAAGGCAAAAATCCCAGCAAAGCATGATCTAATTTGCTCCTGCAGGAAAAAAAAAAATTCCTTCCTGATCCCCCGAGAGGCAATCGGATATTCCCTGGATCAACTTTACCTATAAATGTTAGTATCCAGTTATATTCTGTGTATCCAAGAAATAATCCAGGACTTTTTTAAATCAATCCACCGAGCTGGCCAGAACCAACTCTTGAGGGAGTCTATTCCACATGTTCACAGCTCTCACTGTGAAGAATCCTTTCCGTGTTTGGAGATTAAATTTTGGCATCTTCTATTGCTTATTTCTCTTACACTCCAGCCCTGCTGTACAGGGACTGCAAAAGGCTGATAATGGGACAAATGTATTTAAAAAATAGATTTAATAGGATTAGATTTTTTTTTTTTCCCCAGAAAAAGCTCTTCGCCTTTTTTTTTTTTTTTCCGACTCCCCCTTCCCCTGTCCCACTTGGATCTCCCCACTTAAAATCTGGCCCTCCCCAGTCTCCCCAAGTAAAGTTGGGGTCGAATCCTTGAACCCTTTTCCCCAGTGAGCATCCCAGCATACAATGTACGTGTCTTCTGGGCAGGATCACCATATGTATTTTAGGAAAGCTAGCAGCATGGGCCTCAAAAACTGGTATACTTCATTTGCATCTTTCTTATCAAGACCACCACCACTCTATGAAAAAATTATGCCATCTGTAAGTGGCCTATGGGATCCATCCGACATCCCTAAAAAGCCCATCCGGAACCCTAACCCCCCCCCCCCTTCAAGACTTGGAGCTCCCCACTTAATCTGGTTTACCTCCTGCTGTCTTACACAAAATCTCAAAAGACCAAAAAAAAAAAAAAAAAAATAGCAATTTTTTTAAATCCTCTGAATTTTGCCTATTTTTAAACAATGTAACCCCCAGTCACTGTAGGCTAGAGAATGTATGACCCCGAGGGGTTAACCTGGGCCTGAGGTTCTTCATGGTTTTTCTTTCAAAGACCCTTTTCACCACTGCTATGAAAAAAAAAATCTCCGGCCTAACCATTCCGGCATCCCTAAAAAGGTCCATAATCCCTAATTCCCCCCCCTCCAAGATTGTAGCAAGAAATAAAAATGGTTATACATGGTTACCTCCTGCTGTATTACACAAAATCTCAAAAGATCCAAAAAAAAAAAAAGGCTGGAGAAGCAATTGCTTTAAAGGGGTCCTCAATTTTGTCCTATTTTTAAAAGATGTATCCCCTGCAGGTCTCTGTACTATGCCTGTGCCCCCGAGGTGGTGGACCGTGGGCCTGTGTCTAATGTTTTTCCAATTTAGACCATTTCTCCTGCTGCTCTGTCTGCAATCTCTCTGCCTATTATTGCTGTATGTGCCAAAGTTATAATCCAGCAAATTCCATATTCTAGTGCCACGTTGGTTTACTGACCAAAAGGCTTCCTGTGCCATCTCTGCCGTACTCTGACCATATCCTGTGCCACTTGCCGTCTCTGACCATTACCCTGTGTGATCCATTATTTGCCGTAGGAAGGCTGACCATCTCCTGCTTAAAAGTCTGCCGTCTCTGTTATTTCAAAAAGTATCACGTCTGCCGTCTCTGACCATCTCCTGTGCCACGTCTGCCGTCTCTGACCATCTCCTGTGCCATGTCTGCCGTCTCTGACCATCTGTGCCATGTCTGCCGTCTCTGACCATCTCCTGTGCCATGTCTGCCGTCTCTGACCATCTCCTCTGCCATGTCTGCCGTCTCTGACCATCTCCTGTGCCATGTCTGCCGTCTCTGACCATCTCCTGTGCCATGTCTGCAGTCTCTGACCATCTCCTGTGTCATGTCATAGTCTTTGACTATATCCTGTTATGTGCTTGCTGCCTCTGATAATTAATATTCATCACATTTTATATGAAGCTCATTGGTGATGTTGAGGGCCAACCTTGAGGCCTCCCATATCAGGAAAGTTGACCACCGCCGATCTACATCCTTCCTAAGTGCCATTGCATGCATAGGAGGAGAAGAACGAACGAACGAACGAACGCACACTTTGTTTAGAGTAAGTGAAACATTTCTAATGATCCTTCTAATGGACAGCCCTTCCTCCTCTGTCAGAGATAGACTTGTTTCATCTCAGTGGAAAAGAACTGCTCGCGGTTTGATTGCCAGCTTAGAAGCTCTGAATTGCTGGAGATATTTCCCCTCACTTCCTATTGTGTCACCATCTATGTATGAGGTTAGGATAACCTCGTACAAACTTCCACCTTGCTTGTAATTCATTTAAAAATAGCTTAGGAGTATCAAATATAGGCGACACGTTTCAGCGGCTAAGGACTCCTTCTTCAGGGCTTGAACACCGATTTGTGATACAATCAGGATAAAATTATAGGAGGGAGCCTGAAACTGAGGCAATCCTAACAACGGAAATAGCTGTCCAGCTATAAACCGGCTATTTACAGGACCACCCTTGCACCACCACCTTTGTATGAGGGGGTCTTCAAAAAGTTTCCACAGACACATAAGTTATATATATACACATATATAGACACATACACGTTTAAAAAAGTGCAGAAATTTTTTGAAGAACTCTTGTACCACAAGGGATAAATGCTTAAATTATCTAGAAGTTAAAAGAGAAACTTCACACACACATAATATATATATATATATACATATACACACACACATATATATATATATATATATATATATATATATATATATATATATATATATATATATATATATATAATACACAGTTGCAAGAAAAAGTATGTGAACCCCTTGGAATTACGTGAGGTTTTTGCATGAATTGGGCATAAAATGTGCTCTGAACGTCATCTAAGTCACAACAATAGAAGAACACAGTCTGCTGAACATAATACTACACAAAGATTAGATGTTGCCATGGTTTAATTGCACATAACATGTAAACATTCACAGTGCTCTGGGAGGAAAAAGTATGTGAGGCCCTAGCTTAATGACTTTTCCCAGAGCTAATTGGAGCCAGGAGTGAGCCAACCTTGACTCCAATCAGTGTGATGATATTGGATGTGTTGCTGACAGCTGTCCTGCTCTTAAAAAAACACACACCTGGTTTGGGTTTACTGGTTTCAAGAAGCACTGTCTGATGTGAACCATGCCACGCAGAAAAGAGCTCTCAGAAGACCTACGATCAAGAATTGTTGACTTGCATGAAGCTGGAAAGGGTTACAAAAGTATCTCCAAAAGCCTTGATGTTCATGTGTCCACGGTAAGACAGACTGTCTACAAATGGAGAAAGTTTAGCACTGTTGCTACTCTCCCTAGGTGGGGTCGTCCTGTAAAAATGATTGCAAGAGCACAGCGCAGAATGCTGCATGAGGTAAAGAAGAATCCCAGAGTGTCAGCTAAAGACCTACAGAAATCTCTGGCACATGCTAACATTTTTGTTGACACATCTACAATAAGGAAAACATTAAACCAAGAATGGAGTACATGGGAGGACACCACGGAGGAAGCCATTGCTGTCTAAAAAGAATATTGCAGCACGTTTGAAGTTTGCAAAAGAGCACCTGGATGTTCCACAGCACTACTGGCAAAATATACTGTGGACAGATGAAACCAAGATTGAGTTGTTTGGGAAGAACACACAAACACTATGTGTGGAGAAAAAAAAGGCACAGCACACCAACATCAAAACCTCATCCCCACTGTAAAACATGGCGGAGGGAGCATCATGGTTTGGGGCTGCTTTTCTGCCTCAGGGCCTGGACGGATTGTTGTCATTGATGGGAAAATGAATTCCAGAGTTTATCAAGACATTTTGCAGGAAAACGTACGACCATCTGTCCGCCAACTGAAGCTCCGCAGAGGATGGGTGATGAAACAGGACAATGACCCTAAGCATACAAGTAATTCAACAAAACAATGGCTGCAACAGCACAGAATACGCCTTCTGGAGTGGCCCAGTCAGAGTCCTGACCTCAACCCGATTGAAATGCTGTGGCATGACCTTAAGAGAGCGATTCACACCAGACATCCCAAGAATATTGCTACACTGAAACAGTTTTGTGAAGAGGAGTGGTCCATAATGACTCCAGATCGTTGTGCAGGTCTGATCTGCAACTACAGGAAAAGTTTGGTTGAGGTTATTGCTGCCAAAGGAGAGTCAACCAGTTATTAAGTCCAAAGGTTCACATACTTTTTCCTTCCTGCACTGTGAATGTTTACATGTTATGTGCAATTAAACCATGGTAACATCTAATGTTTTGTGTAGTATTATGTTCAGCAGACTGTGTTCTTCTATTGTTGTGACTTAGATGATGTTCAGAGCACATTTTATGCCCAATTCATGCAAAACTCCACGTAATACCAAGGGGTTCACATACTTTTTCTTGCAACTGTATATATAT